GTTTTGTTGCTGCCTTATGTTAAACTGCTTTAAATTAGTTTTTTTCCCACAACAATCTACACTCCATACACCATAATTGTCAAGTAAAAAAAAACATATTTTTAACATCTTTGCAAATTTATTAAAACTAAAAAACTAAAAGGATTCCATTGCATAAGTATTCATACCCTTCTCTGGGATAGTTGAAATTTAGCTCAGGAGCATTCATTTTGCTTGTAGATATTACTACACTTCAAGTGAAGTTAACCTGTGGCAAATTCACTTGAATGGGTATGATTTGGAAAGGCACACACGTCTTAATAAAAGGTCTAACAGCTGATAATGCATATCAGAGCAAAAACCAAGCCCTGAGGTCAAAAGAACTGCCTGTAGAGCTCAGAAACAGGTTTGCGTCAAGCCACACATCTGTGGAAGAGTTCAGAAAAAAATTCTGCTTCATTGAAGGGTCACAGAAGCATCCTCTGTTACCCTTAATGGAAGACGTTTGAAACAACCAGGACTCTTCCTAGAGCTGGCCTCCTGGCCAAACTGAGCAACTGATGGAGAAGGGCTTTGGTTAGCACGGTGACCAAGAACCTGATGGTCACTCTAGTTGAGCTCCATGATGATATGTGGAGATAGGAGAAATCTACAGAAGGACAAACATCGCTGCAACACTCCACCAATCCAGTCTTTATGGCGGTGTGGCCAACCTTAATCCTCTCTTCAGTTAAGACACATGAAAACACACTTGGAATTTACAAAAATTTTGCTTTGTCAGTATGGTGTATGGAGTGTAGATTGATGTGGAAAAAAAGTAATTTAAAGAAGTTTATCATAAGGCAGCAACATAACAAAATGTAAAAAAAATGAATACTTTCGCAAGGCACTGTAAGTCCTTTTAGCGTCATTTAGGTGCATATGTACATGGAAACGCAGTTTCTGTGCCATTCTGTGGACGTAAGGACATGTTCTGTGAAGACCAGAGAGGTTAAAAGGTCTCCTAAGGAATCTCAGTCTGGTTCTTGTCTTCTAGGTGGGGGAAACCACCAAACAAAGTCTCCAATAATGGTTTCCCTCATGTGATGGTCATGATGATGGCTCTTCAATCATTAATCTTGGTTATTTGCCCCAAATTTGACAATCTCCTTTCTGAGTTGGAATTGTCAATAAGTGTTCTTTTGTTTAATGTTGAAAGCTGTTTGAAGCTACTAGGTTGTAAGGCTCACTTCAGACTCGTGGCGCCAGGATCTGATTTACGAACATCCTGTTGCCTTGGGCCTCTCTGTGGAATTCGGCTCTTTGGGTTGTTCAACACCAATCTGATCAAATCTTAAA